AAATTAATGAATAATTTTAATATTTTCACATCTGCTGGTTCACTCCTCAAATGCTACAAAGGCCAGAACTGTACCAGTCGGAAGCCAGGATCCTAGAACTTCTGGGTCTCCCACATGGGTACAGGGACTTCGGGACTTGAACTGTCTTCTGCTGCCTTCCCAGGCACATCAGCAGGGAATTGAATTAGAAATAGAGTAGCTGGGTCCAGCACAGTGGCCTAGCGGCTAAAGTCCTCACCTTGCATGCGCCAGGATCTCATATGGGAGCTGGTTCTAATCCCGGTAGCTCCACTTCCCATCCAGCTCCCTGCTTGTGGCCTGGGAAAGCAGTCGAGGATGACCCAAAGCCTTGGGACCCTGCACCCACGTGGGAGACCTGGAAGAAGCCTCTGGCTCTTGGCTTTGGACAGGCTCAGCTCTAGCCACTGGGACCAATTGGGGAGTTAACCAGCAGATGGAAGAGCTTTTTCTCTGTCTCTTCTTCTCTTTCTCTGTAAAATCTGCCTTTCCAATAAAAATAAATAAATCTAAAAGAGAGAGAGAGAGAGAGAGAGAAGCCAGAACTCAAATTGGGACCTGCATGGATGCCTAGACCACAGGTAGAGGCCTAACTCACTATGTTTAGTACCAGCCCTGTAGATCTTTTTAAAAATATTTATTTGAAGGGCAGAGAGTTTGAAAGAGTCAGATAGGGAGAAAGAGAGCGAGGAGAGAGACAGAGAACCCCATTTGCTGGTTCATTCTCCAAATTCCTGCAACAGTCAGGGCCACACAGAGGTGGCAGAGATTCAATTGCTTCCCTCAGGGTCTGCATTAGCAGGAAGCTGGAGTCAGGAGCTGGAGATGGGAACCAAGTCAGGTATCCCAGTATGGGATATGGGTGTCTTATCCATTAGCTAAACACCCATCCCCTTAAAATATTTCAGAGATACGTTTATTAAACAAATTAAATTTTGCTTTAACCTGTTCTCACATTGGCCTGGAAAGGGAGTATCTTTATCACATTTTGAGGGTAAGGGACGTGGGGTTTAGCGGAGGGTTATCAGTCTTTTTTCTCTTAAAGATTTAATTGTTTGAAAGACAAGGGTTACAGAGAGAGCGAGGTAGAGAGAGAGAGAATCTTTTTCTTCTTAAATATTTTTTATTGGAAAGGCAGATATACAGAGAGGAGGAGTGACAGAGAGGAAGATCTTCCATCCAATGATTCACTCCCCAAGTGAGCGCAATGGGCCGGTGCTGCACTGATCCAAAGCCAGGAGCCAGAAACCTCCTCCAGATCTCTCACACGAGTGCAGGGTCCCAAGGCTTTGGGCTGTCCTTGACTGCTTTCCCAGACCACAAGCAGGGAGCTGGATGGGAAGTAGAGCTGCCAGGATTAGAACCAGCGCCCATATGGGATCCTGGCGCATTCATGGTGAGGACTTTAGCCACTAGGCCACCATGCCGGGCCTGAGAGAGAATCTTCTATCTGCTGGCCACTCCCTAAATGGCTGCAAGGACTAGGCTGGTCTGAAGCCAGGAGGCAGGAGCTTCTTCTGGGTCTGCCATACAGGAGTAGGAACCCAATCACTTGGGCCATCCTCCATCATTTTTTCAGGCACATTGGAGAAGAGCTGGAATGAAAGCAGAGCAGCTGGGACTTGAATGAGAGCCCATACAGATGCTTGCATTGCAGGCAGTAGCTTTACTCACTGTGTGCCACAGTGCCAGTCCCTGGGCACATCCGTTTCTCAGTATCATGCAGCTACTTTCCCCCACCCCCACCATCACTTAGCCTCTAAACATAGGAACAGCTCAAGTGGCTCAGTCACCTGCAAGTCACAGCTGACACAAAGCCTCTTGGTTGATGCTGTGCGGTCTCTTTCCTCCCCCAAGGCCTTGGTTAGGTCAGTTGTACAGGAAACCCTCTCCAGGCTCTCCTTTACCGTGGCTGTCACCCACACATTTCTGTCTCCCGAGTCTTTGTCTTTCTCCCACGGCTCTCTGAGCATTTTTGTTAAGCTCAATAAAACCTCAGACTGCCAAATACTTGTGGTTCTGACATGCTTTTCTTGGTGTAGCCTCGCCTGCTTCCCACTCCAGTTATAAGGAACACTTTTGCTCTTTTTTTTTTTTTTTTGGATTAAGCTATAAACTATTGGTTCTTAAAACATTTAAAATCTAGACATTTCAGACATAAAAACATAAATATTACAACAAATGTTTATAAAGGTCACGAATACCAGAGAAGTGCTCCTCCCTTCTGATCTCATCTTTGCAGTGCTAACCCTGAACTTGGTATTTATTTTTCTGTGCATTTCCTTTGCCACTAGTTCTCAGTGGGAGAACATTTGGCAAGTTCCGCAGATGCTTGGTACTCACAGATGGGGCAGAGGGGGTGGCGCTAGCATCCCACAGGCAGAGGCCAGAGATGCTGCCCGCCCCTGCACCCAAGGATCACCCCGGCTGAATGGCCGAGAGCACAGAGGTGGAGGCCCAGAGTCCTAAGCTACTTTTACTGCACATGCGTATCTGTGTGCACTGCAAGGCGTTGTTTTGCATTTTTTGAACAAGCGCTAAAACTTGTTACAGGTACATTTCTGCTGTCTTCATTAGGACAGCTCAGAGACATCAATGAGCAGGCATCTCTTACTTCATTCCTTTTACTTTTTGCAATTGAGTCATTACTGCCACCAGGCAGAGTGACAGCCACGGTGAAGGAGGAGAGCCTGGAGAGGGGTTTGCTGTACAACTGACCTAACCGAGGCCTTGAGGAGGGACGAGATGCACAGCATCAATCAAGAGGAAGCTGCAACACAGGGATGGAGACCCAAGATTTGAATTTCTTATTCTTTCCCTGTTACTCCAGCACCATCCTTGTCTCCCGTTTCTGATTTAGTAGTAAATATCCCCTTATCCCAGCTGAAGCCAAGCCCCTTCTTGCTCACCTTCTGGGGCCCTGAGGGGGTGGACCCGGGTTCATACTTGAGCAGCCAGTTGCTTAGTAATAGCAGCAGGAATAGGAACCCAAACAAGATTGGCTTATAGTTCATGAGCCAAACCACCAGAGCTCCCATGATGCCGGAGGAGGCCAGGACCCCACGGAGACTCCTAAAGAGAAAGAGCAGTTCCCCCAGCATTATGGCAGGGAGGCCCCCGGGCCCTGGGGCCCCCACCTCTGTGGGCTGCAAGGCAGCAGAAAGGCCACCCTCCCCTTTGCATCATAAGTAGCTCCGCCCCCAACCCAGCTGCCGTGTAACAGTGGGGCTACTTACTCCCACACGGAGGACAAGCATCACTTGCATCACCCTGCAACACCTTACAACCACGGGTGATGGAGGCCAAGGCAACACTTGATGGCTTCAACAGCACCTCTGGGCCAGGCCCCTGGGAATCAAATGACTGCAGAGAAAAATGACTCAAAATCTGGAAATGTGTCTGTGCCTATTCAAGTTCATGAATGCCATCTGATGGAGCCACTTGTCATCCCCCACCATGTTAGGAGAAGGTAACTCGACTGGCAAATTGTTGATGCAGAGCCTTGGTGTAAAGTTGTTAACTTTCAATTTTAATGTCTAAGAGCCAGGAGTCTCTTCTGGCAGGTGAAGGGTCCCCTCTATCCCCTCTGGGCCACCCTCCGTTGCTTTCCCAGGCCAAAAGCAGGGAGCTGGATGAGAAATGGTGCAGCCGGGACGTGAACTGGCACCCTTATATGTTATCCTGGCACTCACAAGGGGGAGGATTAGCCAACTGTACGATCGCTCTGGGCCCAGCACAGTAGCATAATGGCTAAAGTCCTTATCTTGCATGCCCGGGATCCCATATGGGTGCCAGTTCTAATGCTGGCACTCGCTTCCCTTCCAGCTCTCTGCTTGTGGTTTGGGAAAGCAGTAGAGGACGACCCAGGGCCTTAGGACCCTGCACCCGTGTGGGAGACCTGGAAGAGGACCTGGCTCCTGACTTCAGCTCAGCTTAGCACCAAAACTTGCCAGTACTTGGGGAGTGAGCCAGAGGATGGAATATATTTCTGTCTCTCCTTCACTCTGTAAATCTGACTTTCCAATTAAAAAAAACATATATATATATATATATACATATAAAAAATAAAGGAGCATTGGTAACAGGAACATGGTCATAGGTATTCCAACCCCCATGTTAATCGATAGGCAAACACTTGCCCCCCCAAACTTCATTAAAATAGTTTACATAAATTACATGTATTTTACAATGATATCTCTATAATTACCTCACTGGACATATAAAACATGTCAGTCACTCCCAGAAAGTTTCCTTGCTCCGGCCGCCAGCCCCACCCTCCCTCCAGGAAGCTGGTGCTCAGCACAGACTCGTTTTACCAGTTTTTGTCAACGAGCTAGAAAACAAAAAACAAAACCCTATGTTTCGAAGAAACAAAAGGCAACTCTAGGTAAGTGTCATAAGTGGAGATAAGATCGAAGAACACAAGCTCTGTTCCAGTGTTGGGTCCTCACAGGTTTTCTAGAGGGTTTAAAGGAACAAATCACCAGCCCCCATGGCTAGGAAGAATTAACTCGGAGGTAGCGAAAGGTGTTTTGTGCACAGGGATCGGGGCTGTGTGAGCTGGGGGAACTGCGGCTGAGAGCCTCGGGGCAAGGGCAGTTCCCCTGGGGCAGGTCGTTCCATTTCCACAGAAGCGCTGGCGTGCCTCACGGTTTCCCCAGTCCAATTCAATCGCAGAGATAAATAAAATGACCTATTAGTTATACGTCTGCCCTCCCCCTCAGACTGTAAGTTCTTTGAAAGCAAAAGCTTCACAGTTCCACCCTTGTTACGTAACGGGCAGCAGAACGAACGAAAGAACGCACGCCGCCGCCTCGGAGGCGCAGGCTGGCCCAGAATCCCTTCAGGGCAGGCGGTGGACCCCAAAGGCCGAGGAGACGCTCTAGGATGCCGCCGTGCCGCTCTAGGCCGGAGGACGCTGCTCTATGGCAACGGGGGTGGGGCGGGGCCTTTTTGTCCCGACGCGGAGGGAGCGCGCTGGTGCGCGTGCGTCAGCGGCCGCTGTCGGCGTCGAGCTACCGAGTCGAAGCGAAGCTCCGGACCCACGGATCGACTGACCGAGCGGCCCCTACGGCCGTCGGCGGCCAGGCGGCCCGAGATGTTGTCGGGGAAGAAGGCGGCAGCCGCAGCGGCGGCCGCGGCCGCGGCGGCAGCAGCCGGCACGGAGGCTGGCCCCGGAGCTGCGGGCGGCGCCGAGAACGGCTCCGAGGTGGCCGCACCGCCCGCGGGCCTGGCGGGCCCCACCGAAGTCGGGCCGGGGGCGGCCGGGGAGCGCACGCCCCGCAAGAAGGAACCTCCTCGGGCTTCACCCCCCGGCGGCTTGGCCGAACCGCCGGGCTCCGCCGGTCCTCAGGCCGGGCCTACCGTCGTGCCTGGGTCGGCCACCCCCATGGAAACGGGAATAGCAGAGACTCCGGAGGGACGACGAACCAGCCGGCGCAAGCGGGCGAAGGTGAGACCCGAACCCTTGTCTCCAACCGCGCTTCTGCGGGGTTTGGGAGGGTTGGGGTTCAGGGGGGCTCCCCCACGGCGTCCCGCTTCCTCTGTTCCCCATCTGGGACCTGGAGCCCCGCGACCACCGACCTGAGTTCCACTTGGCTTCTAGAGGGGCGAGAAGGGAAAGTGTTTGTCGGTGCGGAACCGGGCCTTTTGTGCCGGGAGCCGGCCGGCCTGAGTGCGGGGCGGGGAGATACTTTACTCGTTGCATCCTGTGCGCCTCCTTTTTTTTTTTTTTTTACATTTTAAGTAGCTGGGGGAAAAAAAAATGGCTCCCTGCGGTGGAGCTGTGGCTGGCGCGTCGGTCGGGAGCTGTGGGGCTGCGGGGCCGGGGAGGCTTAGGGGAGCACCTCTCCCTGTGGGCGGAAAGAAAGGACCTGGGGGGGGGGGCGGGGGTTGTTTTGGTTTGGTTTGAGCCTAAAGAGTGTTTTGGTCTTTGTTAAATGCTCGACACTTTTTTTTTTTTTTTTTTTGCAAATGAGTTTGGTGGGAAAGTGTAAATGGGGTGCTGGTTGTCCATTGGGGTGCAGAATCTATGGGAGAAGGAAACCCGGCCACAGAACCGGTGCGTGCAGACAATAGGAGCCTCGCCTCTTGGGGTGCAGCTCACGCCAGCACTTGGTTGTGGCTGAACACCTTCGCACAGGGAGTAGTGCCAGCCCCGTTTTAGGATTGAGGAAACAATGGCAGTGACTTGTGTGAAGTCACAGAGCCGCGGTGGAGCCGGGCTGTTAGCCCCACACGGGTCCTGGCAAGGTGCCCTCGGCGGCTCAGACAAAGGAGCACATGGGACCCGAGCCTGCAGGGCTGCGGGGGCTCTGCCCTCGTGGGTTTTTCTGTTTGTTTTCTGGAGAGTCCACGTATAGTTGAATAGAGTAAAAATAATAAGCAAGTAGGGCGATGTATATAATGCTTGTGAAAATTGCCAACTTAGAGTTTCTCGGGGCAGATGCTGAGGGGGCTGTGTGAGGAGCCCCCCAGATGAATGCTGCCCGGGACAAGCGTCCTCGGACCCAATCGTCCACGAGACCCCAGGCTTCTCGTAGGTGTGCCCAGTGCTGCTGAAATGGCTGTTGGGGGTACAAGCTTTTGGGGGCTTATACCAAGTTGTATGAAAGGCTCAGAGTTTGGCAACCCCAGAGCACTGAGATTCTGAGGGTTTTATTTTAATTTTTTAAAAATTTTATTGTTTCAGTAGAAAACACGGCTTGAAACCCTGTGGCCTTTTCTGTAAGGTTTTTGTTTGTTTGTTTGTTTGTTTGTTTGTTTTATTGGAAAGGCAGATACACAGAAGAAGTTGTAGAGAGAGATCTTCTGTGCGCTGGCTCAGTCCCCAAGTGGCCATGATGATTCACTCCCCAAGTGAGTGCAATGGCCGATGCTATTCCGATCTGAAGCCAGGAGCCAGGAACTTCCTCCAGTTCTCCCACATGGGTGCAGGGTCCCAAGGCTTTGGGCCATCCTCGACTGCTTTCCCAGGCCACAAGCAGGGAGCTGGATGGGAAGTGGAGCTGACAGGACTAGAACCAGCGCCCATATGGGATCCTGGGGCGTTCAAGGCGAGGACTTTAGCCGCTAGGCCACGCTGCCAGGCCCGATGCTTTTTTTTTTAAAGATTTATTTTATTTTTATCGCAAAGTGAGATATACAGAGAGAAGGAAAGTCAGAGAGGAAGATCTTCCGATGATTCACTCCCCAAGTGATCACAAAGGCCGGTGCTGTGCTGATCCAAAACCAGGAGCCAGGAACCTCCTCCAGGTCTCCCATGCAGGTACAGGGACCCAAGGCTTTGGGCTGTCCTTGACTGCTTTCCCAGGCACAAGCAGGGTACTGGATGGGAAGCGGGGCTGCCGGGATTAGAACCAGCGTGCCTATAAATATGGGATACTAGCGCTTTCAAGGCAAGGACTTTAGTCACTAGGCCACCATGCTGGGCCCAGAGCTTTGATACTTGATGGCTGCCTCTGGATAAAGCTGTTTGTTTATCCTTTCATTATTTCATGGGCTTTAGGGTTGTTTCTACTTTTTGCTAAGAGTATAAACACAAATTCTGCGTTGACATGTTGTCCCTTTTCTTGGTTTTATGTAAAACCTAGAAGTGGCATTGCCAGTCATGAGCATTCAGTGTAGCTTTTGGAGGAACTGCCAGTTTCCTGTAGCAGCTGCATCGCCAGCAGTGCCAGTTGTAACTGCTCCCTACCCTGTTTTGCATTGGACACTGCTCACCCTGACAGAGCTTGTCTAAAGGCATGCCTAAAGATGAGCTTCTAGCTCTGTGATCCTTTTGGGGGTGGTTTTTGTGTGTGATAGGAGATGGAGATTCCCCTTAACCCTTTTTGCACGTGGATATCCAGTTGCCCCAGTGCAGTTTGTTGAATGATTGGCACCCTTGATTGATCATGAAAGGGCTTATTTTTGGGCTCTCAATTTTATCTTATTGACCCATATTGCCGTTCTTAGGCCAACACCCCACTGTTTTTGTTACTCCTTGTCAGCTTCAGAATAGTTTGAAATCAGGCAGTGGATTTCTTCAGCTTGGCTCTTTTTATCCTTTTCGTTTCTGTGTGAATTTGTGCAGAAAGGGTGCTGGGGTTTGTTTGGGGGTTGTATTGGCATAATGTTTTTGTTCTTGTAATTCTGCTATGCTTTCCTTTTATCCTGTTAAACTCTTAAACTGTCAAAAGAAAATGTGTGTGTGTATTTATTTGAGGAGAAAACGAAACAAGGAACTGGAGAAATTTCCCTATTTATTCCCAGCCTTAGGAGCCAGAGTAAAGAGACCTTAGGATGTAATACTCACTTAAGCTAGGGGTGGGGAACCTTCTGTCTGCCAAGAGCCATGTGGACACTCATAACAGCATTTGTGTTCTATACTAAATTATGACCCTAAAAATTAGCCTGTTACATAGAGGTATTGAATTTTGAGTCCTGGCCAAAGTTTCCTTGTCTGGGTCAGACCAGTGGCTAAACTAGGTGATTCCATAGGCGCTACACAGCTGTGGACTGGATGGTCCCAACCCCTGACTTAAGGAGTACAAAGGAAGCCGAGACCAATGTGTGTAGACCCTGCTTCAATAATTCTGAGGTGTATGCAGGAGTAACAGCTCTATTTTATGGTGTAAAAACATATCAAGACAAAGGGATCCCCTCTCCCCTCTTAAAAATCACACAGTTGGGGCTGGCGTAATAACCTAGTGGCTAAAGTCCTTACCAGGATCCCATATGTATACCGGTTCATATCCCAGAGACCCCGCTTCCCTTCCAGTTCCCTGCTTATTGCCTAGGAAAGCAGTCAAGGACGGCCTAAAGCCTTGGGACCCTGCACCTGCACAGGAGACCTGGAAGGGGCTCCTGGCTTCTGGCTTCAGATCAGTTCAGCTCTGGCAGTCGTGGCCTCTTGGGAAGTGAATCAGCAGACGGAATATCTTCCTCTCTGTCTTTCCTGTCCGTCTATCTGGCTTTGCAGTAAAAATAAACAAATCTTAAAACCAAAAAAAAGAAAAAGGAAATCACACAGTTAAAATTGTTAGGATGTTGGAAGTGATTAAAAAAATTGATGGTCCCTGGAGCTTAACTTTGAGTAGTTTTAAAATGTAAGGCTGGAAATTGGTAAATTTGATTGTAGTTCAGGAACACTGTAATTTCATGAATGGTGAGCTGAAACAAGACAGAATTTAGAAAAGTATTCACGAGGTACCTGTGCCTTAGCCTGGTAAGGTAAGCCTCCCGGCCTGCCATACGGATGACTGTTTGAGTAGTAGCTACTCCACTTCCCACTCAGCTCGCTGCCAACAACCTGGGTAAGCAGCTGAGGATGGCCGCAAAGCTTGGGCTTCTGTGCCTGTGTGGGAGACCTGGAAGAAACCAGTGGCTTCTGTCCCAGCTCCTGCCTTTCTGGCCTTTAGGGAGTGAACCAGCAGATGGAAGAACTCTGGATTTTTCTTCTCTGTTGTAACTCCGCCTTTCAAATAAAAAATAAGTCTTAAAACAAGAAGTGTTGAAGGCAGGTTAACCTTTTGGAGTTGATTCATCTTCCTGATTCTTTTTTCCTCATGTAAAATAAACTCTGCCATGCAAATTTATTATGTTTAGATGTAAATAAAACACTTATTGCTATTTTTGGTATATATAAATATATATTGGTATATAAAAAATAATATATTACTAGTAATTAATGCCATTGGAGCAAATAATCGAAACATGCTTGGAATATGGTGCAAAGTGGTTTGAGAAGAGGCAGGGGGCCCGGTGGTGTGGTCTAGTGGCAAAAGTCCTCGCCTTGAACGTGCCGGGATCCCATATGGGTGCCGGTTCTAATCCCGGCAGCTCCACTTCCCATCCTGCTCCCTGCTTGTGACCTGGGAAAGCAGTCGAGGACGGCCCAAAGCCTTGGGTCCCTGTACCTGCACCTGCATGGGGGACCCGGAAAGAAGTTCCTGGCTCCTGGCTCCGGATCGGCACAGCACCGGCCCATTGTGCTCACTTGGGGAGTGAGCCATCGGATGGAAGATCTTCCTCTCTATCTCTCCTCCTCTCTGTATATCTGAGTTTGTAATAAAAATAAAATAAATCTTTAAAAAAAAAGAAGAAAAAGCTCCTGGCTTCAGAATGGCTCAGCTCCAGCCGTTGCAGTTGCTTGGGGAGTGAACCATCAGAGGGAAGATCTTCCTCTTTCTCTATTCTCTCTGTATATCCACCTTTCCAATAAAAAAATAATAAAAGTAAATCTTTAAAAAAATATTAAAAAAAAAATGAGAAGAGGCAGGGAGTCCGGAGGCCACAAGTGAAGGCTGGAAATAATGGGCAAGTGAATTTAATTGGAGATGGAAACTAATAGGAGCAAGGTAGATAGGCTGAATCAGTAGTGTTTTTGGTGTAGTTATAGCCAAGTACACAGTGCATGAAGTTTGTGCTGGTCCATGTGATAGTCTTTACAACATGTGGTTAAGTTGAAAT